TAATCTCTTTCCTCTTGCTTAACTTTTGGCATAGAGTAGACACTAAGGAAAAGAGTAAAAGAGACACCAGTTAGAAGCAGTTGAAAGCTGACAAAGCATCAAGGTGCTGGGACACCTTGTCCCATACCTATAATGAAGCTTAAGAAGCATTTTGGGACAAAATACATGTTATGTGATATGAACTATGCTTCTTGAATTCACCTTGGGCTCCATACAGAGCACTCAGAAGTTGAATGGGGAGGGAGGAAGGGGGAATACCTATATGGTTAAATTACCTTCGCTAGGACTACTAGAATTGGGCTGTCAAACTAAGGATAGCCACTCAATATGTTCTATAATTTAATGGTGATCTAAATTAGTAGCCTTAATCCAGTAGCCCTAATTATGTTTTCCCCTGTCTAATGCTAAATAATGAGAAGCATAGGTTTTGCTAAATTAAAAAGAATTGGTGAGAGCAAAAGGACGTGGGGAGATGGTTAAATAGCTGAAAAGCCAACAACAGATTGAGCTAATACTGCCTAGGCCAGCCAAAGAATCATTTTGGGTTGTTTTTCCCACAAATTATGTTGTGCCGTGTTAGTTTAATTGATGATAAACTTAAGTGTTAAGAGGAAAAGCAAAACTGGCTCTTAAAATCCGCCAAAATGCAGCTAATCTTCTAGCTTGGTTGAACGAGTACCTGCCAATTAAATATTGGGGAGTAATTTAGCATGATACAAATGTTGCAAAATAAGACTCTTCAAAACATTTCATCCTTAGAACACTCCAGCATCAATATGTAGTATCATTATTTCTTTCCAGCAGGGGATAGTTCTTGCCCTGGTCTTATTGGCTGAGAATGGATGGGGTAGGGAGGGAGTAGAAGAGAAGCAGCACTGATTTAAGTACATGCTGCCAGAAATGGAAATAGATGACAGAGCTACTAAAACTGCTGTTGGAGGCCATTGTCCTAAACCTGTGTCTACTCCAAATGCTTCTTCCCCATAAAATAATTTTTCTTTTAGTCTGAAAGAAGTATAGGCCTGGTAGATTATATAAGAGGAATTTCCCATTCCCTCCATTTATAAAACTATACACACTTCTGTCTCCCCTATGTCACTCTTCCCGCCAATCCTCCCTCTTCAGTAAATCATCCCCATTACTTCATACAAAGCCTTAAAAATCCAATCAATCAATGAATCAAATCAGTTTGTTTTGGAGCAATTATCTTCAATTGTCTCAGTAAATGGCAGTACCTATCTTGGAAAACAGATTACCTGATTAGAGGCCAATCTAGAAAATCCAAATTGTTGACTAGGAATCAGAAGAAAAATGTCAGAAGGTACCAGTGGTATAGTACAGTGCTGCCAAGAAAACAATATGGATATAGAGTTAAATCTGCCTCTCAGATATTTTTACTTTTATGTGTGGTATAGTACAGTGCTGCCAAGAAAACAATATGGATATAGAGTTAAATCTGCCTCTCAGATATTTTTACTTTTATGTGTGAATAAAAGCCACTTCCTTCCAAATGAAATTTCAGCCATGTGCTTGGAGAAAGGTATCCCAACAGGTAAGAGACACAAAACTTACAAGATGTCTGCCATGGACATTTTGTTTCTTGCTATTTAGAGGAAACCCAGTGTTCCCTATCTTTTTGCTCCCTGTATCACTATTCAAGGAGGGTAAGATTTGCCTACCCAAGTTCATATGTATGGATCTTATAGTAGGGAGTATAAAGCCAGGGGAAGCCCTAGGAAGCTTGTGTCCTCTCTTCCGTGCTGAACCGTTGGTCATCCAAAGTTGTTTTCAGTACAATGCCATGGTTTTGTACTAATCTCACCCTTTGTAGTAATGGTTTGGTACTATTTCACTTTCTGCCAAAGGCTATATTACTAACTGTGGCAGAACTTGCTGCAAGTCGGCAATACTTCTTATAGCTGTCAATGGGAGAGTCAGCTGAAATGTTCTAAAACAGGGTATATTATCTCTGCCAAAATGTATTCTGCGATGATAATGAGCAGCATAGCACATTCCTCCAACACCAAATCACCTCTGTTACTATGGGAATCATCCTGCATTGGATTTGACCTCTGCTTCATAATGCCCATCGAGTGACACTTCCTGCTACCAAACGTTCAGGCATATTACTAATGCTTCTTCTGAGAGCTGCCTTCCATTCTCTCTCTTCTTTCCCTCTCTCTTCCTCTAGACTTTCCTTCTCAATCAGGGTGACTTTAGCCAATGGAATTTTGGGGAGTAGGGGAGATGGAGGATATAGTTAGTTGTCTAATTTGGGGGGGAGCCTATTTTACAAAAGCCTAAATCTCTGTGCTTGACTTATGCTTCTTTTCAACAAAGTACAGGCAAGGCTGTGCCCAGGCTGGCAGTGCCCATATTTCATTTATTAGAAAAAGCCTTGATGAACTCCAAGGGAAATTGACTTGACCTTGCAGTTCCATGATGCCTGAAGCCCCTGAAGAACAAGCCAGACGGTGAGACAGATAGTGATCCAGAGAATAGTCATTCATGACAACTTCCCTGATGGACCTGGTGCCTTAGGTATCCTAGGCCAAAGAGGGTAGGAAACAGACAAGAGGAAGAGGTTCAGATCTCTAGCTGATGCCCCACCGCTAGCAGAAACCAGACTTTTAGAACAGGTTTCTCCCTGGCTAGCACAAGAATCCCTCTTAAGGCAGTGTGTTTAGTCATGCCAGAAGAAAAAGTGGTGCCATCTCTAAGAGGATCTGCTGTAGTTGCCATCTGAATACTATATGTATGCAAACTTTTCAAAAGAAATAGAAATTGTTTTTCTCAGTAGAACTTACAAGTAGTCCATTTTAGAGGGACTTGGCCCTCTATTCCCTTTCCCTGCTTTAAATGTTTGATCAGTACATTGTTGAGCAGGAGGAATTATTAAACCTGCTTAAATTTCCTCTAAGAGTTCTTCTGCAGCATGTACTTTTGGCATGCTTAAAATGGATTAATCTGGTTTCTACCTATCCTCTTCAGTCAATAAATCACTCATATACTGTAGGAAGAACATTATTAAAGTAGCCGATTAACTCACACCTGAACATCAATTTGTTGGAACAATTCTTAAAAGACCAATCTCCCCTCCGAGTTTTTTCCTGAAGCTAAGTCCCTTACCTCAGTCCCCAGGCTAGCCACCACCCACCTATTGTCAGCTTAAGGCCGAGACTCTCCATTGCCAGATTAAGGCAGATGACGGTTACCAATTGGCTGAAATTTCAGCCTGCGTCACTTCAGTGGCATAAGCTGCTGCTTCTATCCCAGTCATTAGCTCACACCCCCGGATTGATGCACATTGGGAGCCTGCCAGTCTGTGGCATCATCTGAAATAGAGACAGATCCAGCCACCAGCCTCCATGGACCATTTTTCAAATATCAATGAATGGCTAATGAAATTTACCAGAATTTGATAGGTTGTACTAGTTTTGAGGTCCATGCGCCCCCCCCCCCCCACGCACTAATGAAAAATGCAATTTGGGCAGCCAGTTGAAGTTGACTAAAGCAATTTGCTTTTACAATATATATATCTGTATCTCTGACTATCGTTGTATTGTAAGTATTATTTGCTGTTAAAAGTCCATTAGTTCAATTCAATGTGTATGCATTGTATTTTCTTATATGGGCAAGGAACTGGTAGGCAGATGCCACACAATGAGTACAAATATGTACTCATTGTATGTAGTGCATAAGCATTGCTAATATTGTTTCAGAGTTCAAATTCTATACAAAATGTATACAGCGTGAATATAGAATATTTTATTGGTTTTATTGGTTTATTGATCAATGCCTCCTGACAAACACGGTACTGGGGCAGCAGTCATAATTGTTAACATGCCACAATTTAAGCAATTTGTTTTGCAACATTCCTAGTACAAACAGGAACAGAAACCCACCCAAAAGCAAAATTTTATGCACTAAAATATACTCATGTTTACTAGCCACAGTGTACTAGAACTGGGTAAAAGTGATTTCTTTTGATTACTACAGGATTTTTAAAAATTTTCAATATATATGTATTTTAAAAATCATGCCCTTGATCTACATTTCTGTACATTGGATGGCATGTAGCAGTCAATAGTTAAATAGGGATGTCAGCAACAAAATTTAGGCAGGTTTGGAGTTCCAAAATTGTTTTTGAAGTTATCGTTCTAAAAAAGTTGAAAAGCAGAAATTTCATAGATCTCCCACCCTTACATCGAAAACATGTAACTCAAATATTTGTGCAGACTGTAGAAACCAAGCTAAATAAGATCACTAGAGTTATGTTCATTTGCATAGAAAAATTCCTTGGAAAGGTTTTCAGAAAATAAATTGTTTCAAAGTTTTCTTGCAGCCCACATCTAGAGTCAACGTAGCACTTGTTTACCTGGTGTGATCCCTGAAGTGAAAATCAGGGAACAATGAGATTAATTCCAAGCTTCTATTGTTTCCTATTGCCAGAATGCTCAAAACATTTTAAGTTTTGTTCTGTCTAGCTACAGCCAACACAGAACTTTTTGAGTGGGCTGTTTTCCCCTGAATTTTAGAAATGATCATTTCCCATTTCTACACACCCATGTTCTCTAGAGATGGAGCCAACAAATAAAGAACATAGGCCAACAATGGCTTTTACTGGATGAAATTCAGCTGGAATATGTATGTTTTGAGAACTTTAGGCTCTAAGAACACATTATACCATTTCCACCTCCAAACCAATATTCTATTAATTTGAGAAGAATCAAATTCCATCTCAACCTCCAAGGGTATTACCCCAAAGCAGTCCAACAAACCCAAAGATTTAGCGTGTCTCATTTTAGTGGTAGCCAAATAATTCAAACTCTTAATACCCTGATCACTACAATACCCATTAGATATTGTCCAATGGCTTAATGAAGTTTTCAATGCCTCCAAACTTGAAAATTAACTGCAGTTTGAAGCTGATGTCCCACACTTGCCATCTTCTATGTCCAGAGCTCTTCATTTTTTATCAAAATAATTGCTGCACAAAATAGGGATTAAATATATTTGTAAAGCTCTTACAAATACAATGACATTTAAAAAGGAAGTCTAAGACTGGATGAAAAGTGTTCATATCCCTCCAAGGTCCCCAACCTAAAACAGCAGATCTTCTATCAATGCCAAAACCAGTTGGGAACATCTCCACGTTTAAGATCATTAATTTTCTTCTGTTTCTCTTTTTCAATTTTGTTCTCAATTTCTTCAGAAGACTCAGGCTCAGGAGCTTTGTCCTTGTCTGGAAACAAGTCTGGAAACTGGAAAGTCTGTCCTTCAGCCTAAAGACAGAAAACAAATGTTTAATCATGCGTTCCAATAGTATCTGTTTCTTCAGATAACCATGGGAAGTTTCAGTTAGTCCAGAAAGGAAAAGATGCAGAATATTATCCTTTACTCTATCAGTCTTCCTGCCAAGGGACTCATAGTAACTGAATCAACTTCACCCAGTAAACATATGGATAAGCAGAGTTTCTAACCTAAGTTACCTCTGTTAGAGTCCAAAATCCTAAATAGTATATCACATTACATTTTCCAGTTCTGTATTGCTCAGTTAACAAACAAATATCCATTGCTAATTCAATACATTCACGGTTACATTGGAAACACAATCACTAATGAAATACAGTGCAAGAATTTGTTGTACCATTTGAAATAACCCCAAGTCAATAAAATCCTGATCATATTAAATCATGAGTGGGAGGAATGCTTTTGGGGTTTTTTTGGTTTTTTTTGGCCTTCAATTTATAAGTCTTGATCTTAATTCCTTGTGATTATGTAGACAAGTCCATGCAGTTTTCTAGGTAAGAATTCTGGAAGCGGTTTGCCATTACCTTCTTCCTAGGGTTGAGAATGAGCAACCATCCCAAAGACATTCAACTGACTTAATGCCTATACCTAAGGCAATAACAGAAGTCCAGTTTCCTCATGCTGGTCTAGCACCTTAATCTTTAACCACACTTGCTCTCAATTAAAAACCAGAATATTAATTTTTAGCCAAAATTATAACCAGAAAAGCACAGTTCTCAATTGTAGCAGCTGTATCTGCATGAGTCCAAGAGAAGGTCTTCAACAGTTTCAGAATGCATGATTTTCTTCCATCTAATTATAAAGAGAAGACCAACAATACCTTAACTCTATATACACATTACTGGAGACCAAGACAAGACAATGGAAGGGCACACACACCTAAGGGCTTCCCAAAGAACAGATAGTGGATTGCACAGAAAACAAGGGTAAGGGAGGAAGACTGAAAGGGGAAGCAATGCACTAGAATGGTACACAATTATATGCAGATTTCTTTGCTCGGCTCAGATTGTTCTTCTATGATAGTAATTATAAAAATATCATCAACCAAACTGCTATTAAAATGCATCTATTAAACACAACTGTGAGTAGTTTAACTTTATTTCTCTAGCTTCTGTCAATAAAACAGAAAACACCATGTGTATGCATTAAAGCATGGGTCATGCCTATTTAGTGTCTCTGTATTTGCTGAATAAAGAAAATATACTAAACAGAACTGTATAAATAATATGATTTTAAAAGAGATTTGTGAAGTTATGTAATTCCTGAAACGCAGTATTAAAAAGGTTTTAGCAATCATTCTTCATAATGAAGAGCGTCAATGCCAACACAGAGAGCATTGCCACAGACTCAACGTCTCCCATTTGGAAAACAATAATCTACTGACCTTTTAGCTTTTATTTAGCAGCAGGAACCTATTATTCAAGAACAGCATTTTACTCTGTTGACATTATCTATTTTTCCATATTGTATGCAGTGTTGACAATCTTGTTAAAATCAACCCTTGTCAGCTTTCCATTCTCTTCAAGTAGAAGACTAAGACTAATAAAATGTATCAGACAATAGTGTGGCACAGAAAGATGTGTTATAAAAATAATGTCTGGAGCTATTTTGGAAGGTATTTTCCAGAATACCTTAACAGCTTTTGGCCATCACTAAAGGACTAAAAAAAGAACTAAAAATCAACACATAAACTTAAGACTATAAGAGCACTCTTGCTATCCTTTAAAATGAACCAGGTTTTGCCAACTGTATCCTAGTCTTCAGCTATTAATCTGAACCTATGAGTAAATCAATTGGACTCACAAAAGTGCAGCTGTAAGTTTCAATTTTACTTGCTGGTATGCATTAACAAGCATCCTATTTCTTCTTGGACTCATTGAACATGAATAATTGGTTCCACCCCTTTCCAGTACCATTAATTCTCCAGAAGTGTTACAGAAGTAGATTTTCAGCATCAGCAAGAGACTGAACAACAGAGGTGGTATTCAGCAGGTTCTGACCAGTTCTGGAGAACTGGTAGTGGAAATTTTGAGTAGTTCGGAGAACCAGCAAATACCACCTCTGACTGGAGATTTTACAGTATCCTTCCCCTGCCATGTCCATCAAGCCATGCCCACAGAACCGGTAGTAAAAAAAAATGAATCCCACCACTGCTGAACACCCCTTCTAATGCTGTGATTAAAGTCAACAGAAGCTCAGTGTACAACATTGGGGTACAATACAAAGTTCTACTTTGATCCAGGTAGTATACACCTACCATAACTACAACTACTCAATGCCATCACTGTGGTTTGCAAAAAGTCATTTCCACAATATGTATTCAATGAGGAAAAACTAGGCACTGTTTTGAGAAGTTGCATAGCTCTTGAATATTCTCTTCGGGAGTATGCGTATGTGTGAGTGTGTGTCTATTGAAATCAAAGCCCGGGTATTTTCCAGAAGCAACATATTAGTTGTTGTTTGCTTGTTTGTTTTAAGGAAAAACTGAACGGGTTCTTATTGGCTGGAAAAAAAGGTTTTGTTTTATTATTTGAATATGACTGTTGCTTGCATTATTTTTAACAGGATCCGTCAGAATAGAGACATTTAAAAAAAAATACTGAAACAAGAAATATAACTCCAAAGAGAGCACTGGAAACCCATCAGGCAATCCATGGTTGCCACCTGCGTGTTATACTTGCATGTACAACATCATCATTGACTGATGTTGCTACACATACCAGGGTTTGGCTTACTGCCAAAATGAGAACTGAGAGGCCTTGTCTATGATAGACATAGCCGTTCTGTCCAAAAAGGAAGGATATGGCCTACGAAGATGAGCCATGGTTCTAGTCCTTGCACTTCTCTTCTACGTTGGTTACATTTGTCACAACATTACTAAAGCAAATGACTCACAGTGGATGTTTCCATGAAGCACCACGTATTATCCCACCTTCTCATTTTATTTTAAGGCAATGGAGGAATATTCAGACACAATGGAGAATCTGGTGGATACAAGCTCCCTAAGAAAAAGCTCGCAATTGCCGTTTCAAGGCTGGTCAAAACCAAATATTGAGCAGAAATCAATCTGTATCTGGAACCTTTTAATAAACAAAAGTCAGTGCAGACAATTTGGCTCTTTCCATCCCTTGTTTTGCCGAGAAATGCTGATCTTGGCTGGCAGCCAAAAAGGATTTGAAACCGCCAAGATATTGAACTCTCAAAACTGAAAGCTTTATAAATCCTCCACAATACGCAGCAGTAATTTTGCACTGGTTTGACTCTTGCATGCTGAAAGCTTTATGAAAAATAGTTACTATGCATGTTCAGTAGTTGCTATATTTTGACCGTTCTGTAACTTGAACCATATCTCCAGGAATAACTGTACCATAAGTCTTTTAACTCATTTGAAGTCACATCTGAGTATCTGTAATAGGTTCAATCATTTGGCTTAGTAAAGAAAATGGTTAATGGCCACTTGTTGATAAACTGTTTAGCATACATTATAGCAAAACACTTCATAAATGAAGGAAAATGTAGACTCCAAGTCAATTAAATTCTGCTCAACTTGTTCTTGGGAATATTGTCACATCTGTCAAGTGGTCACTACTACAGCTTCCATAAAGCCACCGAGGAAGCACATTTATGGAACTTAATAATTACCTGGTTAATATAAATGACTGGCTCCAAATCAGGGGGAAAAAATGTTTTTTAGGCTTTCTAACAGAGGCAATTATTGACTCTGCAAACAAGCAGAAACAAGAATATAATTTTCAAGGCACAGAAACAATTTTCTTAGTAATGAAGAAGTTGGTTCTAACTTTTAAAATAGAAAAGGCAAGGAGTAGTTCTGTTTTATAACCAAGGTTACAAAATGTTTTCTCCTGAGGAGGAGGGGAAAAGCACAGAAAGAACAAACTGAAACTACAGAAGGTGATACTGACCACAAGCAATAATTTGAGGTCATTTGCAATGGCAGACAAATACTATCTAAACTAAGGAGGGGAAAAACCCTACCTTCATTTGCCAAGTTTGGGCTATGAGAGAAAAAGTTCTCTGTCTTCAAGATAACCTGGATTGCTACATATATGTATTAGTTCTCTCCTTTCGCCCATAATGCTATGTATTATATGTTGTCCAACCATCAGCATTTTCATCTTCCAACACTTGAATGCAATGATTAATGTATGCATATTATATTGCATAAGTTGGCCTGGAAATCAGAAATCCAGAGTAGAGAAACGTAACTGCTGCTGCTTTCAAGACAAAACGGTATTTCTCAGACACCTAAGAATGCCAACTAGTCAAGAAACTAATGCAAGGAAGAATAATGCTGCCATCTATTGACTATTTAAGAAAGCCAACATTAAAAAAAAAAACTTTCCCAAACAGATTGCTTTCCTACAAAATTACCTGGAACTTGCGATAAACGTGAACTTGCTTAAGCCATGGATTTGTTTGTGCCAATGTAAGGGTGAACCAGAGGTTGAATTAAGGCAAAACAAGGGAGATATTTAAATGATCAGCAGGTATGCAGGAATCTAAAATTAAAGCCTCTTACTTCACCTATGTAAATAAAGTCTAGGTAAGCCTGCTGAACTATGATAACCATTTCAGCACAGAAGTGACAGGGTACATCAAAGCTACAAAATAGGAATTAGCTATAACTATAAACAACTCTTAGAAGCTATTATTGGTGAAATACTTTCCAGTCTGGAGCAGATAACAGCCAGTGTTTAGAATAAGATCAAAATCAACTTAAAGTATTATATAGGTAAGGCTACATTTGTTAAGACTGAAGAAACATTCCATTGGTCTACAAGCAGTTAAAAATAAATAAAAGCCATGTCCAACATCAGCTATTCTCACAAGTATGTATGGCAAATTCTTGAAATCGTAAAGATGCCAAAAACCATACACACACACACACACAAATGTAACACCGAGCCTTCAGAGTCACAAGCCAAGATCAAAACACCATAAGGTCAATTTAGGTTTTGGTATGTAAGTAAACAGATTTTAAAGTGGGGATGGGGGAAAAGAGACATGTGCAGGCTCTGCCCCACTCTCAAGTCCAGAAAAACAGAGGCACACAGCCAGACTGAATTTCAGAGAAACTCAAAAGCACCAATGCTTTTTATCTACTTCTGTCTGATGCATCGTTCAGAGATGAAATCCTGCCCTTTGAAAGAAGATGGAGTTATTTGTGGACGACTGATTTTGCAAAAAGCATTATCCAAAAGAGAGAGAGAGGGAGAGAGAGAGAGGGAGAGGGAGAGAGAGGGGTGGGATTAGTTATCTTGAGTCCATGATATGCAACATTAAACGAACAGAGCAGAGGAATCAATAACTGGATGTAGTTTTGATCTTTATTTCTTTAATGGAGAAACAACTGCTATTGGAACAACATAACTAACAGTGTGATGGGGAAAGAAATCAATCTAATGTGCAGCTTAATGAGATCCATCAAGGACAGTGGTGGGATTCAATTTTTTTTACTACCAGTTCTGTGGGCGTGCCTTGGTGGGAGTGGCAGGGGAAAGATACTGTAAAATCTCCAGTCAGAGGTGGTACTTGCCGGTTCTCTGAACTACTCAAAATTTCCGCTACCGGTTCTCCAGAACTGATCAGAACCTGCTGAATACCATCTCTGATCAAGGACCTACAATAGTGCACCAATATATCTCTTCTACCTGATTTTCATATTAAGTGACAAGAATATCCCTGGGCCATTAAAAAAAAATCTCCTAGGTACTTCTAGAAAATAAACAGTAGTGCATCCCAGTGCTTTGTTTTCAGCTTTACCCATCTATCCAGAAAAAAAGGGAAAAGGTAAAGAGTGAATTCTATAAGCAAGGAAGAGGGTAACTGACAACCAAGTGACTAGTTTACCCTTTGGGGCATAGGTGCTTCTGCAAAAACCTATGGCTGGGCCATTTTGTGAGCAGCAAAGTCTCCTCCCAAACAGCCAGCTTATCAGAATGCCTGCAACAAGCTTACAAAAATCCAAACATGCCCATTAACTTCAAAAGCGTTGCCTTCTCTTATATTCTACCATACAATTAACAAACAAAAACCCTCCGTGTATTTACCTCAATAGTTTTCAATCTGTAGGATTTGCTCTCTTTTGATCTAGATGCTCTGAGAGCTAATGGGGGAAATAAGGTTTACTTTTATAATTTTTTGTCTAGGAACTTATGGCAAATCCGTATATTTTCAATCAGAGAATTTCACAACATCTTATCCTAAGTACTAAAGCCAAGTTTAGCTTTGTAGTGCGGATTTTCCAAAAGAAATCTCCATAGGCCTTTTACCATGCCACATACGCCAACTAGTACAAAACAGAACATTTTAATATTAATAGGTTAAGTTACCAAGGACAGCGTTCTGACTATTTCTTACTCCTTCAGCAGCTTGTCATCCAAGTTAATGCCTAGGATTTTTTCACCTTCAAAGAACTTAAAAGCAGATCCCTCAGTCCAGACTGGCTGAAATTTGCATCCTGTTTCCCCAGGGCTCAATCGCTTTTCAATACCCTTTAGAAAAACAATGTCTTCATAACAGAATTTTGAAACCCATAAATAATTGACTCAACTAAAATCTACCACAACTCCCTCACTTTCCCAGCTTCCAAACAGATGCATTTACTCACCAGCTGTACATAGGCAACCTTGTAGTCTGGCTTCTTGATTCGTCTATTTCTGTCATCCCTCTGTTTGTTTGAGCCTGTTAAATAGACCAACATATTGACTTACCAAAAGCTAATGGTTCCTTTTCCCTACCCCTTTCAGTTAGAGAAAACAGGAATCATATTTACGTGATGTCTAGAAAGAAGCCTGTGGCTACTCCTGAGTGGGTAAACTCTTCCCTCAGTGCAGAAGTATTTAGGACTGGCGCATTAATCATGTAGCAATTTTACCGCTCACAAATTACTGAATCTCATACTCACACATTATAGTTGTCTCGACAAAGAAACAAGAGTCTCTCAAGGTTAAACATTCCTAGTTTCTTGCATTTCTTTTCAAAAGATTTCATTTCTAGTTCCCTGATCGTCCTTACTCTTCTCTGAATCTATTTCATTATTTTAGGGTTAGCTGAGGATTTTTTTCCTTCTTGTGATTTAGAAATCATCCTTTTATTCATGCAACCTTTTATTTATAGCTACATTGCACTCATCTTTTCAGTTCAATTAGTGTTCCAAGATCTTTTTCATAAATGTTGTAATTTGTGTAATGTATTGTAATGTTTAATTGTTGTAAGCTACCCAGCATTATGCATTTGTGAAAGGCAGCTTTACAAATCTCAAGTTATTAACACAAATATTGACTTCTGTGGCAGCCCACTTAATATGTTTGATGAGCTCTCTGAGAATATTTTCAAGGTAATTGAATATGATTGAATATTGCTAATCAGAAAGCAATGAGATACATTGTCCAATGATTTGCTGAAATCAATATATAATACATTTACAGCATTCCTACAATCAGCATTCTTTCTGTACGTGATATCATTATGATTCTTCTTTCTTTCCTATAAGCTTTAGAACTGGCAACTATATTAAGTAATGATCTATAGTTCTCTGTTTCCTACGACCCTCTATCCCTTTTAAAATAAGAGTTAACATTTGTCTTTTTCCCCATCATCTAGCATTTCACCCATTCTCCAGGGTTTCTCAAATATAACACACAAAGACTCAACCATCTCAATAGTATCCTATGATGCAATTCACTTAATTCTGGAGATTTAAATCCATATTTCTTTTAGCCTTACATTTCAATCTTACCTCTTTATCTCATTCTTCACCATTTTCAGGTGAAATACAGATCCTGTTTGGAGAACACTGAGCCAAATGAAGAGTACAGCAACAGTGCTTGCCCCTCCCATCCCTGCCCTCCCGCGTTCTAGTCTTGTTGTTGCTGTTTTAATACCTGTTAACATTTTGCCATTTTTGTGAAGTAGTTACTATCTTTTCTCTTTTATTTTGAACATATCTAAAGAAGCCTTTCTTGCTACATTCATCAGCCTCATTTCATTCAGAACTTTTGCTTTCTTGACAGTAGTTTTTCAGCTGCAAACTGCTTCCTTTCTAGTTATTTTTTTTATTTATTGTCAGTATGGATCCTTTTTTTCAGATACCCATAAGTTCTTTGTGATCTGACATTTGCTTTTCTTGCTGTTCTCCCTGCCTCCTTTGATTTGCTTGTAATTGTGGTTTTATAAACTCTCACCCACTATAAGCAACTTTTTCTATCACTTTTCCAAATGAAAAATTCATTTCTTCAGAGTTCAAGATATGTGTTGAATTACAATCCATTCTTTTCAGTTTTCTTCAATATCAAGAATTCCAATTTTACACAGTCACTTTTCCCCATCATTTCATATGTCTATATCACCAACTACAACTTTGTTGTAGGCTAATATAAAGTCCAGGGTAGTCAATCCTTTTGTGCATTCTTGCATTCTGGGATTAAAACAGCTGACAGCAAAACAAGTCATACATTTTCCAGAAAGCCTATATCTGGCAGAGTTTATCTCCCCATTTCCTCTGTATTTTCAATTTCCTTCATTTATTTTAACCCAAATGTTCTACACTGTCACCAAGTTCATTCACTAGAATTTTCTGAGGAGATGTAGATATTTTGAAAATGCAATTCCTCTTCCCTTCTTTCTATTATATCTGTTCCTTTTCACTAGACTATATTCTTTAGTTACCATACTAAAGCCATGGAAATCATCCCATCAGCCTCTGTTACATCTATTAAATTGTGTTTTTCTGTTAACAGTTTAAAGTCATCTGACTGAATTCCCAGTCTCAGCAATTGTTTCAGATGGTAAAAGCCATGAACTAATTTCTTTAGAAAACTGGCTTCTTACCTTGTCTTACAAATATACTTTCTTAAATTTGCTGTACTTAATCTGCAATTCTACCTTGCACAAAACCCAACAGGATTTGAGGCTTTTCCTCTTACAGTGTTATATGAAGTGAAATAATAATTTAAGAAGTTAAATCAAGTATCAGTTTTGAACTAACACAACACTTTTAAAAATTAATATAATCTCAGGTTTGATTATCATAAAAACAAGGAAATGACAAGTCCCAATTCATGCAAGAAATGACTATTTTGAAAAGGAATATAACTTGCACTACAACAGGCTACAATTGTTTCTTTAAATAGCAAATATTTGGAAAACAAAAAGTATGTGAAAGTGAGTTTGTCAATCATGAATAATCAATGTTCTTCAATTGAAGACTCACCAAACTGTATCCTGGTTCGTACAGCAGCTACTGGCACATTATATATTTTTTCAAGGTACTCTTTCAATTCTACTCTTGTCATGCTGTACCAAAAAGCAAGCAAACAGTTGAAGCACATTAAGGAACAATGTCAGAATATTAATTACAGTAAGCATAATGGTATTCAGTAATTCCTGTCTTTGATAGAAGCATCCTGATATATTGGAAAACTGTTTTTTATTAACAATGTGAAAGCTAAGAAAGCTCAAGCCAGACAAGAGAAAAGATCTTATTATGCAGGTCCTACAGATAGACAGGAATCGTTAACTGCGAGGTTACATTCTCCCAAAAGAAATGCTACTGAGATTTCTGCTGGAACTCAAACTAAATATTAAATGGAGCCTGGATGAAGTCCAGATAGCATTCACTTTTGACCACCATTCTGGGGACAGACAGGGTTACAGTATTTAATTTTTTCCATTTTGAAAAAGCTTTTTTAAAACATACAAAAAACCGTGAATGCTTACAGTAGTGCTGGGGTCTGTGAAGAGCAGAAGATTCTTTGCTGACATTTTTAGAATCAGTTATGTAATAATGCAGCATGGTGTGTTTACAGGGCTATTCCAGGAAGTACATGAGAAAAAGTAAAATCTTTTTTAAGTATAATATATATATATATATAGAGAGAGAGAGAGAAAAACTTCCAGGCACTTAAAACATTTATAAAATATGCAATCCTGATCTACTTCCAGGTTCAATCTGGAAAATTTTACTATAGAGCAGTGTTTTTCAACCTCAGCACCTAGGGAGGGAAACAGACTATTTCAAAATTCTCCTAAGCCTCTATCTGATCCAATAGAAAAGAATCAGTCCACCGAGATTTGGACAGGGAAGTGTAAGAACCATCATCCTTTATAAGAACTCCTCAGAGTTGTGGAACAGCCTACAGGGAAGAAACACAGATGAACAAGCAAACCGGCTCCAGTTGTTACTGATAAGGTTGCATAATCTACTTGCTTCACTATTATGGCACTCTGAGAATCTGGATAACATTATTCCCAATAGTTTCAACTCAAGAAGAAATGTGTTATCTTCTTCGTTTGTATGTACTTACTCCATGGGGATGCGGAACTGTACCGTATCTTCTGGCAGTGGGACGCCAGGCCTCACCAGGGTCAAGAAGTAATCTGTCCGGAAAATTCTTGTTGGAGGATTTCCTAACTGATAAAGGGGATAACTATGGACAAAGAAAAAATATATATTTCTGAGAACTATGGAATTCTTGTAAATGTAAAGCATGTGGAGAATGTAAAATCCGACTAGACATTTTTTTAATATAAAGAGAATTTTTGTCTTATGCATACATGGCTAAAGAAAGGAAGCAATAAAAATTAATGTGCTATGTTTTCAATAATTATCTCCAATCCTTAAATACAGCTGTATTAGGCTTTCTATTCAATGGTATAGCACAGTGATGGCTAACCTTTTTCACGTTGCATGCCAAAAGTGCACACGCCCTCGTGTGCTCACGTACCTGCATCCATGATGCAATGCTTACACAACCCCTCCTACCCTTATGCATATGTGCACGCCCCCCCGTGTGCCCCTCCCCCTGCGCATGCATGCATGTCTCCCCCTGTGCATGTGCGGCAGATACCCGACAATCAGCTGGCTAGCAGGGAGCACGCACGCACGCGCAGTGAGGCTCTTCCGGGCGACCTCTCGCATGCCGGCAGAAATGGCTCTGCATGCCACTTCCAGCACACGTGCCATAGGTTCACCATCACGGGTATAGTAGAATAAAGCAAAGAATAAAATAAATAACAAAATAAAGCAGTAAGAAATTAATTCTTCATTCAGAACTTTCAGTGTTGGTTAAATATTTCAGCTGTTAGGGTGACATACAACACCCATGTACATATTTATATACATATTAGTGAATTATTATTAAATTAGTGAATTATATATGATACATTATAATTAAACTAAACGTTCAGAGGCTTTTTTTCACCTTAAAAGCAATATCCCCATATGTTCCAGAAGACTATTTAGACAATTTCCAAACCCCTTAAGAAAAAAACAGCTATACTATTTCTTGTGTAAATAGTTACTGAGAATATCATATGAACTTACAGATAGCAGAATAATTATGAAAGCTGCAATATTATGTTAAAAGCAGATACTGTATATTTGATTTATGGGAAATGTAACAGCTATCATATTAGATGTAAACAATGCAAGAGCAGGAACAAACAACTGAAACAAACAGGTAAATAATAATTATAATCATAAAAAAGCAAATGAGGGAAATAATAAAGGGCAATAAAAACACTTTACCAGAATAATTTTATACTTATAGCACTTAAACTCTAGATCTACTTCAAATATTATAAAATCTTGTACAAATAATGTTCTCTAGAAATTAAATGGGATTTTTTTATATGCCTTACGAGATATAGCATCGGTTTGTATAAAACACTGTGTATGTTTTTCCAGTAACAAGCTTTCCCATGGTAGCTGCAATGATGTGATAATGAAAATATTTTTTAAATGACACATGAGCATTTCTAATGTGAAGCTATTGCAAAAATTTTGGACATGGAAGTACTTAGGAAAGAGAGGCAAGTCATTCAGATACTCAGCTGATAAATTTCACCGACAATAAACATGAAACATGAAACTTTCCAGGTATACTGAGCTACCAAGGGAAAAGAAATATAAGAGGAAAATTACTTCACTAGAACCAGTATGGAATTAACATCTTACTAAGGAGAGGTCAGGATATATATGCAAGAACCAGAGAAGAGAACGTAAAGCTAAAAGTAATATAATTGAGCATATTCCTACAGTTCTGTGGAATACATTTCTGATACCGTAGTTTATGTGCCTCAGTGGCGCAGTGGTTAGAGTGCAGTACTGCAGGCTGCTTCTGCTGACTGCCTGCAATTTGGCAGTTCAAATCTCACCAGACTCAAGGTTGATTCAGTCTTCTATCCTTCTGAGGTGGGTAAAGTGAGAACCTAACATTGTTGGGGGCAATATGCTGACTCTGTAAACCACTTACAGACAGCTGTAGAGCACTATGAAGCGGTATATAAGTCTAAGTGCTATTGCTATTGCTATGCAGATAACCCTACAGAAAGTCAAGAATTATTGAAATAAAAAGTAGGAGAAAAAGAGCAGTAGGATGCAAGAGACTCTTTGAGGTAATATTTTTATTCAAACTTTCTACCTACAGGTAAAACAATCATGGGCAAAAAGCTAAGAAGTATCCCCTCTTTCTAAAACTGAAAACTATGACTTTTGTAAAATGTTAACGGGTATTAAAGTTGCATCTAAAAACAGTGCATATTTAGATAATCATTAATAAAACTTTCCTGACCAGTTATATATTGTTTGAGTCTTCCTGCAAATGTAAATCATATCCCTCTGATTAAGTAATCGCATTCACATCTATATAGGGTCTGGCTTCACTGTAATATGTAACCGTGAAATAGGAATGAACTATCACCAATGTGTTTAAATTTGATTTAAATCTGAAATAATCCTAGAGAAGAGGCAATGGCAAACTTAATAAGCACATTTCAATAGTTGGATAATAAAGATCAGAATAAAGCAAGAATTTTATGGGTGTGCGTATAACGAATAGCTATGAAAGTTATACACCAAGAAAGTGCTCATCTTCTGAATTATGGATTTAAGAGATAAATACTAAGAGTACTTATAAATAGCAGGAAAAAAAATTAATCGGGTTTGGATGAAATAAAGACTGATTGTTCCTTTGAGAGGATGATCAGCCAGCAAAAACGAGCACACTTTCAGCATGTGATGGGAGGTTGTTTTGGACCACAAACCTCTATTATGCTTGGCAAGGTTGATAAAAGTATAAGAGGAATCGAGTAGATGGACAGCATCAAATAAACTGCTGAAATGTCCTTGGAAGAGCTGCAAATTGTGACTAGAAACAGATTGAAACGGTGGGCATTTGTCCAGTCACCTGGAATCAAACCAAGACGATGACATTTAATAACCACTAAGTATCATTCTCTACTACACTATTAAAAAAAAAAAGAAAAGCAAGCATTATACAACCGATAGTCACATAGGAAGGAATGATGAAAAAAGAAAACCTCTCTTTCTCTCGTTTGAAAACAAGGGAAGCCGAGCGCGTGAGGAGGCGTTACGCATGCTTTACAAAGCACCTGCTGGAACAGGGCACTGCACAAAACTAGCATTCCCAGTTTCGAAGTGTTTGGACGACCGAGGAGCGTGCAACTTGCAAACAAGCATCTAGCCCAAATTGAAAGCGGAAGGGGGAGACCGTGGGAAGGCACACGACACCCCACCGCCACCTTGCTCTGCAAACGGGGAGACCACCGGGACTGTCCGCGCTCAACTGAGCTGCCAAGGTCAGGGAAAGCCCGGGACGGGCGGGCGGGGGGGAAGTAATACTCACAAAGCCCGCCGAGCCATGATTCCTATTTGGCCGCCGCCGCAGCGCTCAGCCGCTGCGGAAGAGCACAAGAACATCCGGGGAAAGAAAGCCGTATAGAGGTAGGAAAGTCAAGATCCGCAACACCAAGAGTGCGGCAAACTTGAACTCGGTAGTTTTAAAAGAGTTTTTTTTTTTTTTTTAAAGCGCTTTTCCAGTTTGGCGAGAAAAGCGGCGAGAGCCGTCCGGAAGCTGCAAATCGGGTTTCCATCGTAAATTAAGGCGGCAACATTAATTCTTTTTACCAAACCTAAACTATCCCCGAAGAAACAAGTTAAAAAGTCTCGGGTTGGACTCGCATGTGGCGAGGGATATTTCTCTAAGATTTCTCTCTAAGAGAGCCCAGGTAGGTAGGTAGTTTAGTTTAGTTTACTTTATTGTCATTGCACCTCGTACAACGAAATCAAACACCATCTTCAGTGCACATCATGACCATGAAAATAAACACAAACACACATCCTTTACACTCCACACATTGAACCGAAAACCCGCAACACCGCATCACCACCGCGCCAAGATAGGTAGGTAGGTAGGTAGGTAGGTAAATTTCTATCAAAATGTTTCTCTCTCTCTCTCTCTCTCTCTCTCTCTCTGTGTGTGTGTGTGTGTGTGTGTGTGTATGCATGCATGCATGCATGCATGTATGTATGTATGTATGTATGTATGCATGTATGTATATGTATTGAAAATTTAGAAATAAAGAGAATGACATAAATACAGTATTAAATATTCTTGGGGGAGGTTGTGCATGGCTTGTCAGGTGGTTCTGGGCTAGTGTGATTGTTAGCCCACCTTAGATGAACTATATCTGTATGACCTTGACTCATTTCTTTAAAAAAAAACTATGCAGAACCGGATCTAGAAATATCAAAGCTGTAAATTGAAGGGCTGGAATTGTTAGGAGAGTGAGGGGCATATCTCAGAACTATGCAAATCATTTTACTGCATAAGAGCAGTTCCCCCCCCCCCCCAACCTGAGGTGTACCCCCTTTTGGAAATCCAAAGAGTCCAGGAAAGGTGTGAAGAATCTTTTAGTTGTGCATTGTTAGAATAAATGTTGTAAACCATCCAGAATCATTTCGGTGATCTGGATGGTGTACAAATTTAAATAAATAAATCCAACTTTCCCAAAGTTGCATTGGATTGTTTTCATCATTCGTGTTCATTTTGGTATTTGGATTTTTAAGGGAGGTGTGTACATTAACATTACATCAAAAGAAGTCTGATGGCAAAAAGTTTAAGAACATCTAGCATCATCAAGGTTACAGAGTTATGTTGTGTTTTGTTGTCCCATGGTGCTTGCTTGCCTGTCCTGTTTGTTTGGACACAGTGGACACACTCTAGATTCCACCAATAAAACCATGTCATTTCATGATACCCCGGAAACAGGTCTTCTGTGTAGTTGCTCTGCATTCTGGCATAGCATTCATCCTGAGATTTCCATGGATCCCACCCTAAATATTCAAGAAAAGGCCCAACTCTCTTTAAACCTGTCATTTTCCCCAAGCCTTGGACTAAACTGAATTGGGGAGTTCTCAAGAATCTTCTGTCTAAGGTGGGGATTTGGTCATTCTTCTATGTCAACATTCATCTTTTAATAAGCTGCTGTGTTTTACTTGTTTTTAATGTTGTCTTTTGAAATGTTAGCTATCCAGAGTTGTTATGGTGAAAGGGGTGGCCGCATGAAGTATATTAAAACAAATAAACATGCAGAGACCTAGCTCTCTGAAGAAGTCTGTAATGGTGGGAAAAGTGGCAAGAAAAAGTAAAACAAGACAACCGGCAGCAAATGGTTGCACCATTGCAAGACTTGAAGTGCCAAGTTGAGGACAGATCTCCTGGAGAATATCTCTTCATGTAGTTTCTAACAGTTAATGATGACTTGCTGGCACATAATCGATAGCAGAATTAAGCATGAATGACTTAATGATTCCTGGGGATGAAATTATGACAACATCCTGGGAACATGTCGGAAAAAAATGTAGCTGGGATATGTTTGTACAATAGCTAGGTACAGGTAGGAAATGTGTAGTGAGTAGAACTACCCTAACATACACCAGTGTTAATAAAAGAAATGCAGAAAATTAGATGACTGGATTGGATTGAGTTTAAAACTAATTGATGAACAATCAATTTGATTGCTGTATTGTTTTCCAGAACTGCAAGTTGGATTCCCCCCCCCTCAAAAAAAAATGATAGCATGAGAGAGCCGATGCAAAGAAATGGGACAGCAAGATTAATAACGCTGCCTCCTATGGCAACTTTCATTTGAAAGGCGAAACTACTGTAAATGTATACTGTATAGCTCTTTACGTTTTCTATCTCTATAGGATTTCTTAGTAAATAAACTTCATAAGGATACAAATGTAAAAATATTATCTATTCCACTGCTACCCCCTTCAGGTAGAGACACATATGTCACTTATTTAATATGAATTTGCAAGTTCTATCAAGTTATTGTTGTGTAGAAAGTTAGCACCCACCCCTCTCCTAGAATTAAATATTCTAGAAAATATTAAAAAGGAAGAATATTATATTTCCCTGGATGAGAAAAGGAGAAACATGCCTCCTCCCCCCTTCAGTTCCAGGGTGATGGGATTAAGACATGGCCCTCCGGACATGATAGGATTAGCCCTCTACCCGTCTCACCACATGGCACCTGGAAAAATTACATCACGCAGCAAGATTCAACCAAGCCTGGGACTTAAGATAACCTACAAAGTTACCCCTGTATGGCCCCATGGGAGTCTGACGACCAATCAGAATGCATTTCTTTCACAAGAACAGGAAGCAAGTTCAAAGCCCAAGAGAGGATATAAATATATCTCTCTCTCCACTCCATGTGGTCAGCTACCCAGGACTTCAAATCATGTGGTCCTGTCCACCTTAAACCACCTTTCCAAACAGCCTCCATGTTTCCAGTGTCTTTCTCCCCACTTGGAACTGAACTGATGGACATTTCTTCCAACAATTGTTTGTTTATTTACTTGTTTGTTTTGTGCTTTGAGCCACTAACTGTTTTCTGTGGAATTTTAAAAAATAAACTAAAGGCTACAATCTTGAATGTAAATCCATGTAAATCCACCGGTTCTGTGTCTGCTGCTCTTGAGAGCTACCAGTTCTACAGAGCCGGACAGAACCAGTAGAATCCCATCCCTGCACTAAACTACTTCTGTATAAAGTAAGGCTACCAAATCTGGACTACAGAAATCAAGAGGTAGAATTAAGAAGTTTTTTCATATTCCTTGGTTATCTGGATTTTTGCAGACCCCAATATTTATTTAGCTGTTTGTTTATAATATTTATAGACTGCCCATCTAACCTCAAGGTAACTCTGGGTAGGTTACAATTATAATATAATCCCATGATTATTAGCAAGATCAGATCTTTAATATGGCAAACGTTCTGCTCCTGGATCTAAATTAGCAGAAGCCAATCCATATTCTAGGATATTCCATGGATATATTAGCTGCCACTAAGCCTCCAGATAGTTTCCCTAAATTAATTGGTTGATTTATTTATTTCACTATATATTTATCCATCAATTGCTTGCTTTGTAAAACAGTGTATCTGTTCTAATAATTATTCCAAGAAACTTTTAAAAATTTGGTCTTGCAGGGTGAAAAGTGCAAAGTTCAACACATCTTGATCCCCTGTTTGGAAGGACAGTTCTAAGAATATATGAACCATCACGCTGTGTCCAATCTAAAACCATAAGTAATCTAGCATTCTGTGTCCCAGAATGGTACTATGCAATCCCACACATGACAGGAAGTCTATTAATCTGTTTGCTCCCCAGCAGCTAGTATTTAAGCTATTCTGTACGTGAACATTTGTGGAATGCCCACAATGCATCATGTAACAAAGCAATTTTCCAGCTTTACATACATTCCAGACATTTTTAAAAAAAACTTACAAATTTCAACATCAGCATTTTTTCTTGATTTACATATCCTTTGTTTTAGAAATTTAAATTGGATTGAGTTAAAATAACACTTGCCAAATGTATTTGCAGAAGTATATTCCCCATCTAGCTCAGAACAGTTTCCAAAAATGAAGGGCAGCATCTTTCAGGAAAATAATCTTGACTATGGTGGTTGGATCCCAATCTCACAGTGGGCAGGGTTTATTTCCAATATAACAGCCCATCTTAAACAATTTCACAGCCATTTCTTTTATTTGGCACTTCAAATAAAATTAATCATCACAGGAATATTTTTGTTAACAATTTCACATGTTCCATAGATACTTTCTCCTGATAGTCTATGGGATTGAAGCATGGGGCAGAAGAGGAATAGGGAAATTCTCTGTCCCAGGGATATAATAAGGAACTCTATAAGATGCTGTCAACATCACAATTCTTTGTGGATGTATTGTGAAAAGTTGAAGCAAAGGATGCTTCACTAATGTTTAAGAATTTGCCTTTTGTTGTAAGTGAATAGTTCTGTAGAGAATAACTGCTCAAATAAGGAATCAGCAAAGATTTTTAGGAAAGAGATTGAAAATAAAACTTCCAAAACTATACTGCCAGTACAGAAATCTAAGATGTATTGATATCTAGAAGTCTTATCATTTCAATACATGCATATGTTGTGTAGAAATAGGCAAAAAAAAAAAAATGAAAGAGCTATGGATTTGGGCTATTGATATGTAAGAAAAAGGTGAATGATCAGCCTATAAAATTATGAATTAAGTAAAGGGAGCAGATGTCTTTCTTAATACAACTTGGGAGTTACCCAATCAAACTGCACAAAAAATAGTTCAAAATAAATTCTTCAATGCCAGCTGCGGGATTACCATCACAAGATGGTACCATATGGCAGCCATTACTTTAGACTGCTTTAAAAGGGAATGGAGATGGCGATCAATGTCCATATTGCCCTAAGAATAACAGACACTACATTTTAGGACCATAGCTGCCTTCTACAGTTGTTTTCAGAATGCTGTGAAACCAGATGTCTGTGGAAAACCCAAGAGCAAGGCTATGTATGAAAAACCACCGCGTGCAGTTTTCTCTCTTTCCTCTAGAGCGGGGGTCCCCAAT